ATGGTTTGTTTCTGCACTCTCAGTAAGGCTGAATGCAATAATAGAGTTGCTTGGCTTTTAATCCCTTTACTGCCATTTTTTCTAGATGATTTCTTTTTTTTAAATTTACTTTTACTTCACTAAATATTTCATAAAAACACACCTGGAAGTTAATTCTCCACTGTCATCAAGGAAAGAGATGATCGCACAAAGAACATTTAACCAGGCTGTGGAGACGCAGAAACAGTTCTGGGAATAATCCCAATAAAAGCTCCCATACCACTAGAGAGTTTTAAAAGCAGACTTACTTCAGAGCCTCCTTTTGGTCCCATGGTCTTCCAGGTGGGCTGATGACTAGACACAGGGATGACTAGATCACATTGTAGTCAGACAGAGGCATAACAGACCAGCTCTGCACTCTGAGCAGCAGCAGTACACACAAGTCAGTGGTGGCTTCTGGCTGCTGGCAGTCGGACAGATGGCTGGCAGCATCAGTGGCTGTTTTGTACCCACCCAACCTGGGGCTGCTACCCCAGTTGTCCCCTCTTAGTTATACTGCTGTGCACAGAGGTAACAATGGATAGGAAAATGTTGAGTGGGACTAAAAATTGCTGCGAATCGTCACATGATGGGAGTGAAGAACATAAGGATTTCTGCAAAATATCCACAGAAAATCATAAATTGATGCTTCATTGAGGGGCTGTTATTATTCTGTTTTGCAAAGCAATTTATCATGCTAGCCCCCAAACAGCTCCTCAATACGAGAAGCGCAAAGGAGGACTTGAGTCTATCAATGCCTATCCGCTCTGTTCCTGCACTCAGCAGAAGGATGGGGTAACCAAAAATTAAAGCCAGCTGTATTTATCTGAATATCTAATTTTCTAAAATGGTTGAACAAAATTTCTTTTTCTGTTTGTTTAAAAAAGGGAAGATACACTGGCAATGGGTATGAGCAGTTTCAAACCCGAAGAAAAGAAAATGATTTTTGAAAGTGGTGAGCCATGAAAAATAAAGCTTACTATGAAAGTGCTGACTTAACCTTAAGTACAGTTATGCACAGAAAGCTACGGTAAGAAGAATATGATTAAAGTTGCAAAAATCAAACACTCAGAAGTTAGAAAATACCAGTATTAAGGTCACTTGTTCAACTTTAACTCAGACCCAAGGCACATATGAATCATATCACAGTCTTACATATTCACATTCTGTTTTTACACAAGATAGACCTTGGACCACTGGAAGATGTTCAGTGCAAGAAGCAGGGGATTGCACAAAGAAAAAGGACAGTGTCATGGTTCAAGCAGTTGAATGCAACCCTGGAAAATAATCTCTGATTCTGAAATAGGGTTTCTGTAGGATGCTACACAAGTGACTTCATTTTACACAGCTGGTCACTAACCTTTTGTTTCTTATTTTTTTGGGTGCCCAGCTCTGTATTCTGAATCCTGTGCTTTTAATATTTAAAGTTCTATATCATAATAAATAAGTTGAAAAAGTAGAAGCTTAGGCATTCAAACTGGGCACTTCACAATCTATCTTTTTTAGTCCCTCTTGACTAGCTTTTGTTCCTTCCCCATTAAAACTAGGCATTCCCTTCTCCATGGTACATGGGTATCACTGGGAGGGATCATGAGAGCACAGGAAAGATCTCTGCTCAAAGTTCTGCTGCTCAATCCAAATCCCATCCCAAGGAAGTTGGAATTATTGCCCTGGAAAGAAGCATGTTCAGTTGTTCTGTGGGGATGGCATGTGCTCAGTCTAATCGCACGTAAGGACTCTGACGTTATGGAACCTGTGCAGTAAAGGAGAAATCTTTGGAGATTTTAACTGTTAAACTTGAAGCCCAATTCAGCAAATGTGGTTATAACAGGGACAACAAAGGGCATATTCCTGGTACAGAGACCACCCCATTGAAATTTAAGTGCCTGATCTAAAGTAGGTACAGTCGAGGTCACCCAAATTATATATATAAATACAATGGGAACAGCAAATAAGTACAATGCATTATTTGTAAACATTCATAACTTATTTCCAGATCAGTTTAATTTATGTGAGGCTGAGGAGGAATTTCTTGTGTAAATCTATACATATTAAGTCTTCCACAGGTCTCAGTATTGGAGCACACAACACAGTAAAACTGAAAATTGTGTGTACACCTGGAGAGAAGAATGGTAAAATACTGGAGTGTTATATGATGGATCCCTGCTAATTCACTCAATTGTGCATCAGTTGTCAACCCTCCAAACCATTACCATGTGGATAATTTCCTATCCCCTTCCCTCCTTTCAAAAAAGAATGTGTTACTTGGATTACAGCATTTTTGCTGTTACATAGGAAACAGGAATCACTATAATGGATCAGATTTATGGTTCTTCTAGTCCAGTGTGTGGTTCCTGAGAGTTGGGGATAAGAGTGCACCGTCATTCTAATCCCCTGTTTTCAGTTGCCTCGACATTCTCAGAAAATTACCTTTTGGGTTGAAATTTCTCACGCTTGGTCTCAGGCCAGAAGTGAACTGTAAATATCTGTTCAGCCATTTCTGTGTTATACATGCAAGACTAAACCTAATATTAGCATGCCATTGGGTTACACGTGAATGTACATGGGGGAATTTTGACTAGTACAATATATTTGCTATCCTCTAGTTATTCCATCGAGTTTATTTTTATAACAAAAGAAATCCAATAAAATAATTACTGACTATAAATGACAAAAGGCATTGAAATGATCTCATTTATCTTAAAAAAGTCAAATCCTAAAGAACTCAAAGCACAAAAAGAATTTTGGCCAAATCTGATGTTACAAAACATTTTTCAATTTATTTAATATCATGTTCTCCTACCCTGTAGTTATATTGTATATTTTCTGAAAAAATAATATGCAAACAGATTATTGCATAACACATCTTTTCCAAATTAGCCCAGAAATATTTACTAAATTAATATTTCAACACAATAAGAAACGTGTTTTAATACTGAAGGTTAAATTTCCAGAAAGTTTTATCATGTAAGATATTCTGTGGAAAGAAGCAGCTATTTACCTTTTTATAAGCTATTATGAAGACCATACACAAGCCTCTCAGGAAAAACATAGGTGATAGAAACACAAGCTGAATAAAGAACCTCCTTCAAGTGTGGTTTTGCAAAGTGAGTATTTCATTTGGTCATGTGTGTGGGATATTTTTGCATAATGGTCTATAGACCCTCTAAGTTCCACCATTACAGAATACATATAGTGCTGAGTTACAGAGAAGTGGCATTTCACATTATGTCTATGCTTATTTACGGCTCACTGTCTATGTGGAATGAGGATAAAATAATACTAAAATGAAAATAATTATTAAACAGAAAGTATTGCATTATTCAAACAATGAAAAATACTGTATTTTAGTTTTGAGATACTTCAAGCATATACAGCATATACATAATAAAGCTTAGGCTTTTTTTTGCATCAGCTAAAGAAGCAGTCATGAAAAGATTGTATATTGGTTTAAAACTCCACAACCACCTAGTGCATTCTTCTTGTTCACCTTTTAAAGACACATGTAATGTGAAATGGATACATTACACTGCTGTAGTTTACAATATATATTTTAAATTTACAAAAATACAGAAAAACAAGATTTCTTCCACTCAGATACTGAGCATTAACCCTTTGAGTACTAATTCCCACCTGCAACACTGCAGAACACATTCATTTGACTTATATATTTTTATAACATTCTAACAATTATAATTGTCATCTTTATGTACACTATTAGGAAATATATTCCTACACATAAAAAAAGAATAGGGACTTAAAACTGCTGCTAATAGACACATGATAAGAATGAAGCATGTAAGGATTTCTGCAAAATATACACAGAAAACTGTAAATTGATGCTCCATTGAGGGGCTGTCATTGTTCTTCTATTCTCCACAGCAATGTATCATCTACCTAAGCCTGTGTTAGATGCATCAGTAAGTAAACAAGCTCATATGGCCTTACAGAATTGTGCTTCTTTTTATTCACGGAACTGCTACTTTCCTTTCACTGCAGACATTTTTCTTCTAGCTTTATGCTTCTATTCACATTTTGTGAGCCATTCTGATTTGTACCCTTCCTTGTTTAAAAGCAGTTTCATTTCACATTAGGATAATTATCATTCAGATTGTCCTGTGAGTTGATTCTTTGTGTCCAGATGTTCATGGAAATATTAAAAAAAACCCTTTTGCCTTGTTAACAGAGAATGTTACTGACCCTAGAATGCCCTACAGTTCAGCAGAATTAATGAACATAAGGAACTACTTCTGAAGGTTAAATTTGCATTAAAGGATAACAACAATCTGAAATTTGCTAGGGGGAAAAAGGTTTTTTCATAATAAGATGTAAAATTAAACCAGAGTCTGGGAAGCTGTATTTCTTGAAAATGATTGTACTTTCACTTTCTTGGCAACTCTGGACTGCATTGCTCATAAGACTAAATACAGAGTACAGTATATACAGGCTCTCTGAACTAGAATAATCTATTTTTAAGAAAATGACTGTAGTCCTCAAAGAGTTAATGATAAAACCTCTCTACCTAAACAGATGTTTGAAAGGTTACTGTGAAACAGCTTATGGATTTGCTCAAAAGGCATACTTTACAAAGAAGTGTAAAACTTGTTGAGACAATTGCTATTACACTGCACAGTGTCACATACAATGAGTAGTGCATGCTCTGTAAAGACATTAGAGTGGACCCTTATCAAAGCTATCATATAACCTTATACAAAGGATTGTGCCACTTAAACTAGTGCAGTAGTGATTTTTTGTAAATTCATAATGCTCTAGATTAATACCAACAGGGTTTTTCACAGCCTTTTACAATACTTTTTTTTTTACACATGTAACACTAGAAAACAGCAAATGGTATATCCTGACATGTCATGCAAAATACAACCAATACAGCACCATAGATGTAACAGAGACATTATCTAGCACTTCCCTCCAACAAGAAAAGGGACATAACAGAGACTGTACATTACATGATTTTACAGGCCATATGCTACAGAAGAACTTTAGAGGCAGTATCACTTTTGTAGATCTAAAAAGCTGCATTAGTAATTTTACAAAATCCTGCTCTTCATTTCTATTGTTGTCACTTCTGATTAAAATCCATGGCACAGTAATTATACTTTGCTACAAAAATAAATAAGTAAAAGTTTAAGATGCTGATATGTTTATAAAAAGTGTTTGAAGTTATTGGAATTAAAAGCCAAAAGAATGAATAAAAATGATGCCTTTCTAAAGAAATATAGTTCTTTGTAACAAAAGGATATTGCCTCTCATAGTCAGTTTCTCTTAGCTCCATTTTCTAATATTCTCCCAGAACAATTTATCAACATTCTTTTAAAAATAACTTCACTTTTAAAACACTGCCACTACAGCAATTTTTTAGTCTCTTCTCAATAAGAAAACAGAAACCATGGTGGAAAAACACACACAATTTGCCGATGTGCTACACAAATACATCGCCTTATTCAATTTAGAATAAAAACAAAGCTTACGATGACTAGAGTGAAAAAAGACAAATGAGTGGCCCATGAACTACACAGTAGTTTCATTTTTCCAAGGGCCCGTTTTGATATTTCCTGTACTATCTGAACTGTATATCATGGCTTCATGCACATTTCCCTTGAGAATTCCATTGTGATTAGTTGTATTAAATGGCAATGATTGTGTCCGTGGATGCATCTCAAAATGAGCTGTATGGTGCACAGTGTCACTTTCTGGCATTTTAGCACAACTGTATATAACAGTACTTGCATCGCTACTTTCAGGTTGGTTGATGGTAGGGTATGGATCACTTTTTGCACAGCAGGCCCGTCTGTGCCCTGACTGACTATCATGCGTACTGTGTGGACTGTCTGTATGTGAACTGTGGATGCTGCCATCGATACTTGAAGGAATGTGATAGGCATATTCTCTCTCTCCCGCAGACCTATGTCGACTGAAGTAACGTGGCTTAGTTCTGCTTTTCAGACATCTATGAATATGCACGTTAGGTCTGAAAGTTCCTTCATTGTGTACATGAATATGAGCTTCATCATCAAGAAGTTGATCACAGTGCATTTTTGCACAACAGGGTGTAACTGGTGAAAGGCAGTTAACATGGTTTTGAACAGCTTGTAGATTAGTAAGTTTGCAGTGACTAGCAGCTGGATGATTAAAAACAGCTGATTTGTTAGGACATGGTGACTCCTGAAGACAAGATGTATGAACCTGGGTGTCCCCATTGACATTAACCTTTGGGCGGACATTAACTTGTACAGAGTATGTGTTTCTTCTAGATGGGCAACAGGACCACCAGCAATGCCATACATCATCTCTCTTTGCACAGTGATGGATGAGAATGAAAAGCCCCAAGGTCACACAGAAGGCTCCATAGAGGCAGCTAAATATCATATCCAAGAAATGTTTTTGAGACACAGCAAGTGCTCCAAAGGTCCAAGTGGCAGTAAACAGGAACAAAGTGAATGCTGCAGCTCGAAGCTGAGCCTTAAATGAGTGCTCATTTTCCAATAAGGAAGAAGAAATCATGGAGCATGATGCCTGGGCAACTGAACCAGTGTCCGTAATATGACTATGGCCCACTTCAGTACTTGCCAGTCTTTGCTGGTCTTCTGTCCTTTCCTTTAATTCATACTTGCGTTCTGGATGGCGCTTCAGCTGCACATAAGTGCAGAGAAAGTACACACAGGTGACTAACACAATGAATGCTACTGGCCCATAAAATGCACCGAGGCTTGGTTCCCATGCCATCCAACAACTGTGAACAACAAGAAGTCAAAGTCAAATATATTTTAAGACCCAAATTTGACATAGTGGACAATGCGTTGGTTTTGGATTGGCAATATGATATCACCTTGGTGTAGGCAGATGTCTCCTTACTGTCAAGGAAATGATGAAATGCTAGCCAAGGGAGGAAAAGAATATGACTATGATGCCTTTAGATCATGCTAAGGAACATTGCAGTAAAACAAGACATACTATGTGTGCTGAACTTGGAAATGTAAGGTATGTAACTACCTTAGAGTGTTCTTGTATGCAAAAGGGTAATATCTCTGTCTAGTGCAGCTACATGGTATCCATTTCTGGGTTTAGCATGGAGGATGTGCTAAACCTCGCCATCCAGACTACTAGCTCTCACTGACCCCTAGCACAGTCCAGATACAGAGAAATCACGAGCTTAAGATTTACTATTCTGAAACAATACTTCCAGTACCATCAAACAAAAATCTCCAATGAGACATTTTTGGATATGCATTTACCAATATTTTTACAAATAAACTAATACATTTAAACTCAATATAGTAAGGAGCCCAAGTGACCTTGTATTTATATCCTACTGAAAAGGCAACTGGGCTCCAAAACCTTTAGAGTCTTTAGATGTCCCAGGCTGACTAAACATCATAGAGTATTACTTTACAGGTACTGCTAGTTTATATGATTAAAATGTCTCCTCACACAGTATTTCCATTTGTTGGAGTAGGACATAGGATGGATGTTCAATTTAGATAAGAAAGCAACCACAAAATAAACAGGGGCCATGTCTACATGAGACACTACTGCACAATGGTTACTGTGTATTTATTTACTAATTGTTTATGCAAGTACTGAATAAAAGCACAGTAGCCTGAGATACTGTGCAGTAGCGCCGACGAATGCCTTTCTTGTGACACTACTGCACAGTAGCCCAATACTACTGCACAGCAGCAGTGCATCACAGTTTTTGCCACTCAATGCTACTGTGCAGTAGTATCAGGCTACTGTGCAGTCAGCATCTCATGTAGAAACACCCCTGGAGTAACAGATAAAGATTCCCAGCATTATACAGGCCTTTATCATGAGTTTGGACACTTTGTACCACTCACTGAACCCCAAAGGTGCAAAGGCATCTAAGTGCAGCTTTTAGCTTCCTCCAGTTTCTGGAGCTGCTGGAGTCCTAGTTTCTGGAGTTGTTTTTGTTGTGAATTTGAGAAGGCTTAGACAACTTAGGAAACCTTCATGGCTGCTATATGTTTTTTGAACAGTGCAAAATTGCTGCAACATGGGTTGATATCCACATTGTGCCTCTACAATGGCCTACACTGAAGATAACAAAGCCATATCTGCTTTTAGAAAATTGTTTATTTACTCTGGGGCAAAATCCCGTAGATTGTTTGCTTGGCAGCATAGACTGTGTAAGCCTCAGCTGGCCACATAAATTGGCTGCAAGCTGACAAGAACTCTCCTGGGGGTGAATGGCCTAGGGAGCAATAGTGAAGGGAGACTGTGTGGATCTGCAGAGCTCTTCAGAGAAAGGATGATCTTTCTTACAGAGCAGCCTGGTACAGATCCCTTGACCCTCTTTTCTCTTCTTGCTGGGTACACAAGACTGCAGGAATTACTTTAAAGCTAAGGCTATAGTCATTCAGGTCATAGGAAGAGAAAGGTAATGGGGTCAATGCTCCTTTTCTATTTAATTTTAAACAAAACATCACCATTTCCTGGATGCCATAGAAGGCTGGAGTCCTGTCTGGACATCCACATGATTCCCATAGGGGGAAACCTTTGACCCCTTCTAGTACATATCCTCCATGAATCCTTGACTGATTTCAGTTTCTGAAATGTTACAGTTCTCTGCAGCCTGCATTGTCCCAATCATAGGCTCTTTCTAAGCCCACTGAGATTTAAGCATGGGAGGAGTCCATCCTTCTCCTGGAATTTGGAGGAATCTGCTGCCTTCCCCATGTCATTGTCCAGAACTCAATCTCTCCCTGTGTTATTTAGGATGAGAGGCATCTCAAGCTACATCATACCAATTTCATAAAGGAGAAAATGTTATGTATGCCCAGTATTTGGCCCATGGGGACTACGAAGAGGGACAATACTTGATTTTCAATATGTTTTCATGTAAAACTAACAACAAATATATGTTAATTTAAAAGCTCATAGTTTTTTTACAGGGAAAGGGAAAAACATTCCTAATATCAGATATGTTCCTTCTAAAAAAAGGTTCTCTCCCTTTTTTTGAAAAAAAGACTCCTCTTTGGCTTGGATTCTCCTACCATTTAGTAACATGGAAATGTCATCCTCCAAGGTGAAGCCCTCTGCCTTAACAAGATTTAGATCAGTTGGGTTCTGTTTAGTGTGAGTTGCAATGCAACCACATTTAATTTGAGCTCTGATCTTTAACAAACTCACAATTTATTAATTATCTCAGAAGCACCTCCAGGAATATATATATTGTCCTTGTGACAGGTATGTTGAAAGACATCATCTAGGTAAATAAAGTAATACTAGTTTTTATTTGATGAGTGTGAAGCCCAGATTAGTGGGTATGCTTGAAATAAAATACAAATGATACGTCTTAGATGCAAAATGAAAACTGGAAGGTTCCCCAGTGGAACATGCTCTCAGGATGCAGTTATTTCAAGTGGAATCTCATCATGGATTACTTGAAAATCAGTTCTTCAGTTCCATAAAAAACATGTTAAAGTTACTAGATCTACATTTTTATGTATTAACATTATTAAAAATGGAGAAGGCACATAACCCACTGTGATGTTCAATTTGCAGCTTTCTTTTCTCTCTAACCCTCTCTCACCTGTGTCCTGTTTTCTGTACAGATTGTGATACCAGTATTGATTAGCTGTGATTAAAGTGATTAAAGAAGTACAACCTCTTTAATTGTGCCAAAATGAAAAATGTCTTACAGATTTATGAATATAAATAATCAAGTCTTTTAATACACTGTTGATTGTAAGTGATTGTCTAATTGGACATGTTTGAATAAATATATTTTGAGTATATGACAGGGATGGTCTGAGTGGGTCCCAGGCTGAGAAGATGAAGTTGCTAAGGGTCTTGACTAATTTACTGTCAAAATTCAGTTCTCTGTGAAAGCTATTATAAAAGGCCAAATGTTATTATATCTTCCACTTCATTTTCAGATGCCTCTTTTCCAGCTCATATCACAGTTGCCTTCAGAGGTATGAGGCAGCATACTTAAAGCACTGCAGCATTAACTGAACCTGACGCCCTGCAGAGCAGCAGTTGCACTGTATTGATGTAATATATTGATAACTGCATTAGGACACTGATCAGTGACACACACCTCAGAGCAATCAATTCCATTTGGCAATCTGAATCACTTCCTGTTCTGTTTTTATGGGGAAGCCTACTGGGATCCTTTTGCACTCTGTTTCCCAGGCAGCAACAGTTAATAATGCACATAAGGCACCTGAAACACAAATCTGTGATAGCCATACAGCCTATCTGGTTAGACTGGACACTAGTATGCATCTTGAAAACCCAACATGTTTTATTTCTAAGGAAGAAATGTAAAGAGGGACTAAAAGCATCATCAGTATCTCTCTATAAAGCTATTTATTAGGTATTTGTAATTTTCATAGTTGCACTAAGCCTGAGGAAAGGGCATCAGATTTCTGCAAATGACATGTGGTCTGTTCAGTGAGGTATGGTGCATCTGCCTCTTTTATGAGCTGGTAAAAGTGCACCTAGGCTTTGCATGATTGTGTTTGCAGTTGTTTGCACCATTAGCAATGAGAGTCATATAGTGAACACTTATGCTGTCCATCGCACATGTGCAAAAACGTTATATTTAGTCTTCTCTTTCCACTCCAAACAGACTTCAGAACCAGTCATTATTTGATCTTACTATTTTAAACTGGAAATTATATGGAAAATGAAAGCAGATATAGCAATTATCTGATTTTCTTGTTCCTGATGGGCTGATATAGTGAGCTGCAGCTGGTGCAGAATGTGGTGGTACACCTTCTGATGCGGGTGGGTCACTAGGATTACATAACTCTATTGCTCCAGAGTCTGCATTGACTTCCAATAGCTTTCCAGGCACAATTCAAGGTGCTGGTTTTGAACAATGAATCCCTACGTGATCTGAGCCCTATCTGCCTAAGGGAATGCCTGTTTCCTTATCCCACATTATGATCTCTGAGGTCAGCTGAGAGCAACCTTCTTCAAGTACCAACAATAAGCCAAATCTACTTGGCAAAAGCTCATAGGAAGTCATTCTTGGCAGGTGATCCTCATGTCTAGAACACCTTTCCTTTTGAGGCCCAACAGAGCCTAAGCCTGGCCATCCTTCAGAAGCATTATAAGACCTTCCTATTTGACCAGGTGTTTAGCCAACAAAGCTAGGATAAGATATTGTTTAGGGGTCTCTGTTTTATGTGGCTATTCTGGTTCCCTTTTTAAGTTTCTTTTTTTTGTTCTTTTGTTCATTCTCCTGTTTTATGAGTTACTGTGTTCTCTTAGGCTAGGTACAGACATTCAAGGAAGAATCGATCTAAGTTATGCGGCATAGTTTAGATTGGTAATGAACAGAACACACATTCACCCTTCGGGGTGGGGGGCAAATCTTAAACTGGGTTCTACCATTTTAAAACCAGTCTATGTGTGCCGAACTTCTGTTCTGATACTGGTATAGACTGGATTTGTGCCCTGAACTTCTGTTCTGTGATGGGTTTGGAGTGGTTTCTGATCACTTATACCAGTAAAAATGTAATGTCTGTACCTGGCCTTATTGTGAAATACACTGACACTTTGGGCAGGGCAGGATATAAACCAAATAAATAAGTAAAGAAGCAATACATATGTAATATATATATAGTTCTGTGTGTGTGTGTGTGTGTGTGTGTGTGTGTGTGTGTGTGTAACTTTCAACAAAAGTACATGATTACCCTGAGTGAAGAAACAATAGGTCTAATTCTTTTCATGTTTATACAATTTTAAATTAAATATAATTCCATTGATACCAGTGGAGTCAGAATTGTACAAACTGGGTAGTGAGTGAGCAGTATTGAATCCAAAAATGAAGACATTGAACTTTCACAGCCATTATTTCCTAAAAGTTACCATGGTCCTTGGAATCATGGAATTTCATCTTACACTCTCTCTATCCTTTATAAAATATAAAATATTTTGTTAAACTATTTTTATTGCAATAGCATATACTTACTATGGGGCATTGCCTTCATTTCCATAGTTATTGATATTCGTTGCCGCTGTAATCCCACAAATAATAAAAGGAACACCCCCACTAATCAGGTAAAACCTGTTAAGAGATAACAATTAATATTTTAATTTGCATGGCCTACAATTGACAGTATTGTTTTTGAACAGTTTTTCTTCCTTGAAGTAGTCATAACAAGACAACAATGTACAATATAGGCTAAGAACATTAAATACAATTTCTCTAAGAAGAGAAAAGCAAAGGAATAAAATGTCACCATAAGCAATGTACCTTATAAAGCACCAGGAAAACAAGAATAGTGAGGACTCATCTTTAAATGGATCCATTTTAGAATTTATTCACATCTTCTTTACTAATAGTTTTAACAAATATAATTATAATGATAGCAAAACTAAAAAATAAAACCTCAACTAATGTAAAAGTTATTTATACATAACATTTGAAAAGCACTATAAATGGTTTACATCCAACCTAAAATTTTCTCAGTAGTTATTGTGAGAGATTCTGGATCACAGAAATGGCTTCCCAGGTCCTGCCTGACAACTGAAACCAGGTTCAGTCAGGAGAAATGAGAAGAAATTGTCTTTTGATAACAGCATTCCTTCCAAGCTGGGATGCCAAACTGTGATAGTTAGGATCATAAAGTCTCCCTTTGTCTACTGCTCCTAACCTGACAAGACTATTGGGAGAGTAGTATCACTAACAGTTTAAGGCCTCAGTCTTGCAAATGTATCCATGCATATAAATCCTCTGAGCCCTAGAGCAGGGTCTAACAAAAGTCTAGAACAATATCAAATTTAATCTTTCTTTGGTGATTTGTATTAAAAGACCAGAGGCACATCATTTCACACCCATTTAACTGGTTAAACACCACTTAACTACTTGGAACCAAATTCATCCCAATAAGTGGAATTAATGATAATACTGTTCCAATTAAGCAGCAGCGATTACCATATACTATCATTAGGCTAAATCAGATTCCTAGGAGACACCCCTTTGAAACAGTCATCCAGCTTTATTATGTCCACATTCAGCAGAACAAACTGTAATAATGTTTTACATTTGTATAGCACCTCCTATCCCAAAACAGAGAGCAAATTATTCACATAATACAGCCCTAGAATTCTGTGATCTCTGAGACAGAGATGAGCATCACAGCCCACTGGTGCAAAAGAAGCTAAAGTTCAGCTGAGGCAGGGAAAAATTTTGTTCAGTGCCACAGGGAGAACATTTTTAATTGCATAGACTTTGTTTTGCTCTTTAAAACCCATTCATAAAACTTCTAGTTTTCAGAACATTGTCTGAAAATGCAATAAATGTCAGATAACTCACTATTTACAATCAGGATGAAGGTCTCATTTGAACCTGTGGATTCAGCAAGGTTACATACTTCAAATCACCAACCCATGCCCTCCTACAGCATCTGAACCTCCATTGCTGCCGTGTACACATCCTCTCTCATTGCTTTTTCCCCCTTCTCTTTTCTCTGCAAAAAACAACAACTTGTTCTTCCATTGCCTCTCAAGTGTGGAAGGCAGTAACACTAAATGATAGGAAGAGAGATTTGATCTTCCTCAGGCAGAAGAAGATCCTTCTCCAAACTGAAGGGAAATCTCTTACTTATGTAACACACTGGGTGCATCTACACATGCACTAACGTGGTTAGTTAATGCACATTAAATCAAGTACTTCCATTGTGAGGTCCTAGGAAAATGGGGCATCTATATACAAGTGTGGAGGCTGGAATTTGAATGCATCAGAGCAAACTCAATTAACTGAGTATGCCGGATCATGGCAATTACCATGCTCAGCAGCCTCCTGCATCTCGTATATCAGTGTCCACTCACTTAAAAATGGTGGCAGGGGTACTTTATCTAAAGCTTGTGGAATGATTTTTGGTTCAAGCACCCCTGTCACCATTTTTAAGTGAGGGGACACTGATACACAAAATGTAGCAGCACTTAAATTAGAGTGGCTCTCGGAGCCTCTCTAATTGAAGTGCCGCCATCCCCAGAGCATGTGTAAAAGTGTGAAGTATTAGCCTATCTTAATGCATATTAACTAAAGAGCATGGTTTTTAGTGATGCTTTAATGCACATTAAAATAGGTTAATGTGCATTAAAGCGCACGTGTAGATGTGCCCAATTATTATGCAAGATTATTTTCTGAGATCAGAAACTGACTTCTGTATTTTTCAAAGTACAGTGCAAATGGCAAGTAATCTTACAGGCTTTGTGAGCAGTAGTGTTACAGACCAGGGAAACAAGATAGTGCAGTTATGTTAATTTCTCCAACATTACATAGCAGGCTAGTTAAAACCAAGACTAGAACCTACATTTACTTAACCTCCAGGACTGATTTCAGAGGTCACTTGTCAGGAAGAAAACTCCCACATTAAATTCTACATAACAGCTTTGCCTTTATGATCTAAACTGTAAATAGAGCAAAGAAATCTAACAGGAAAACATCCTTTATACACAAGAGAAACTTTCAGCTTTCAGAACTTCAAAATGACTATTTCCCTGGAACTTGGCATTTTCCTTAGAGCTCAGCCAACTCTAAAGAACAAGCTGAATCTGGACAAGATCTAGTAAGCCATTGGAAGTGAATGATTGTGCTTTTTTTTTTATTTGAGCACTGGGACAAGAATAATATGAAGACATGCAAACATGCTCCTTGCAAACACAAACTGAATGAAGTTTTCTGAAACTTTAAACAAAATCTTTGGGTAGAGACTAAACACCAAAAATGTTATCCTAATTTCAGTTCAAGTTATAAGGTAGAAAAACAGATGTGGATGTCTGAATAAGAAACCCAATTTTGACTGTAAGTAGCGTGCGTATAGCATAGAGCGCAGGTCAAGAACATTTTGGGAGTGGCAAGCCGAATTAATATAGCTTGGTCTAAAAGATGTGCCATCTCTTGTGACTCAGCTACCACTGGTGAATTATTGCTGACATCCCAGTTTATCAGGCCATACAAGAAAAAAAATTAGTTGGTGAATTGGATCTGGCGTGTTGGGCTATAGGTTGCTGAACCCTGGTACAGTGTTTCACTAAAAACAGTTTATAATCTCAGTTTAAGACTCTTTTCTTACAAATTGAAACTATAATTAAATGCACATCTGTTTTAGTAAATCACATAGGATAAGTATTTATCTATATTAGGATTTAAAAAGAACTACTGCATCACAGTGTTACTGTTGTACTCTCACACCCTCACACTTGAGGTGTGTGCTGGGCTACATGTTAGTAATTCTCAGCTGCTCTAGATGCGTTAACCCACACAATACTCCAGAAATGTGGCAATATCCAGCCAAATGCCTGTCCCGTCTCAGCGGTAAAATTAATAAAATACATTCTATAAATGCAGTAGGTAAAGTCAAATACTTTCAATACACCCGAGGTGCACTGCACTGATATCTAGCACGGTGTACTGCCTGCCCAATCTCATTACTAAAAAAAAGGTAAAGCGCATGCTAGAAATGACAGTATGTACAAATAATTCTTCAACTACAGTATCAGAACTCTTCAGGGGTAAGGGGAAAGATAAACCTGGGAGGCCTGCCAAAATGAAAAGAAACTGGATTACAGATTAATAGAATGAAAGTAGAAGAAAGGTAACATTTGGAGGAAAGGGAGGTAAAGAACATGAAATAGGTTCCATACACTTAGGGGCACAGACTGCATGCGCTGGTCTTTCTGCACAAAGACTAAAACACTGTATTTGCCAAAACTAATTTATATATTAATAAACAAGTAATTGAAAAATGACCAAAGTGGAAGAGTAATTTCCTAGGAAAATCCAAAGGCCTTCAAGTAATTACACAATGGAATTACATTTAGTAAATTTAGATACATTTTTCTTCTTCCAATCTTTTATTTCTGTGCAATATTTTATTGTAAAAAAGAGAAAATTTACTTTCTAGGAGGCCAAAAGAAACACAGTTCATAATAAATAACAACACTTCATCCTTATAGAATACCTTTCATCTGCAGGGATCGAAATGCTCTTTAACTTTAACTAATTTAACTTTACAAGCTTTTGTGCAGTCTTTGAGAATTAGTATCATTGTCATGCAGATAAGAAAACTAAGAACGACAGATTAAGCATTTGGGTAAGGTCACACAGAAAGTTTGTGCGCATGTACATGGTAAACTTAGTGTTTGGCAGCACAGTGCTGATCCACAAGGACTGCTACCTGAACTAGAAGTTCATAGCACCACTGAGGGGCCAAGGCAGGTTACTCAGCCTGGGGCCAAGCTATGTGGCACTGGACAAAAGCATCTATAATGTGTCTGTGAGGAAGCATCCCAGCCCACACAGCATGCTTGAGAATGGTACTGATGGGCTTGATAATTTTAGGATTTGATGTAACCTCTATCTCAGAACCCGGTCCTTTTTATTGCTGGTCATGTGCCCTTGGCACAAGATTGTCCTTCCTCTCTATTACAGTAGAAGGGAATAGACTAAATTATACCTCCAGGAAACAAGTTACTTCCAACAACTGGAACTGGTTTGAGCAAGACATATGACATCTTGATCATCCTGGAAGGCCTGAGTGTTCACAAGGAAGGTTGAT